CAAGTCCTACACATCCTCTCTGAAGAACCTTTTCAAAACCTATTCTTACCCAGCCAGAAAGAATTCTTTTTAAGGAGGTATACGCTGGTAGCATAGTAGTTATGAGTCAGGCTACCAACCTCAAGGTCAGCAGTTCGAAACTACCAGTGGTTCCGTGGGAGAAAGATGAGGCGTTTTGCTCTCGTAAAGATTTACAGCCTTGGAAACTTTGTGCAGAGTCATTATGAGTCAGAACCTACTCCAGGGTACTTAACAACAATAATATATACACACATATATATTGTTGTTTGTTAAGTGCTGTTGTGTCGGTTCTAACTCACAGCGACCCTGTAGAAGGTTTCTGAGGAGCAGCTTGAACCATCAACTTTATGGTTTGCGGGTTGGTTCTAATTTGACAGTGCCTCACCAAGAGTCCAACAATCTATACATATTGGTGTTGTTAAGCTGTTGAGTCAATTCCGACTCATAGCAACCCTCTATAGGGTTTCCAAGGAGGGCTGTTAAATTTGAACCATTGACCTTGAGGTACAGTGCTTTATCCTACAGCACCATACCACCATGACACTCTATCTCTCTCTTTGTGTGTCTATGTGTGTGTGTATACACACACAAGCAGTGACTCATTTAATGGCTTTTCTAGCCAAAGTCTTTGTAAATTCCCACCAAACAATTTTTCCTGATTGGTCTGGGTAAGAGAAGGTGGGAAAAAATCCTGATAGATTATATGATTCACTTGTGAGGGACAGTTAATGGGGTTAACTGTGAAAAGTTGGTACTCTAATGTGGTATAAAATGAGGCCTCTCAGAAGTAGGAAGAGGGATCTTACTGCCATTAAAGTAGGACTGGAGTGGACTATATTCTTTGGAACCACAGATCCATGTGCATTGAACCTCCTCGATCCGGGGACAGAAAGGAGGAGTGGCAAAGGAACAGCAGCAGCTGGGGTAACAGAACCAAGAGCCAGAGCACCAGACAGAACAGTGGGCATCCCAGCCCATGGAACAAATAAAGTTGAGTGACTTTGGGTGGGAGGCTTGCTTGCAGGTACCTCCAGGTACTTAGTCAGGGGAGCTTGGTTTGCTGACCCACATAGCTAGAACTGAGTGCATTCAGGCTGCAGCTTACAGTGGGTTGCCGTGTCCTGTGAGCATTTACCAGCAGCCCTAAAAGAGCTTTGTAATATTGCCTAGACAGGAAGAGACTTGCTGTCCTGGCTGGAAGAACTGTGTCCTCAGCATTCTTGACCCTGAATTATAAAGTATTAATTCCCCTAATAAACCTCATAATTGTGAGTATGGTGTCTGACTTCAGTGGGGCCATGGCAATGAATGATTGAACCCAGATGGAAAGCAGAGAATGCTGTGGGAGGGATGGCTGATGACACATTTGGTGTCAGGAGTGGGATTCTTTGTAATGGCTCCAGACTCAGGGAACTTTGGGGTTTTGTAAGAAAAAGAACCAAGGAGCAAGGGACGTAAAACTTTTAGTTCTTAGAAGGTTACTTGGGTGGTTAACTGTAATGGTTGAAAGGAAAGTAAGAAATGTGCTTCAAAGGAAGGAAGAACAATTACTACTGGAATCGTTTGGGACAAAAGCAAGGCTGGTTAAGGAAAATGCCATTAGGGGCCCAGAGCCTACATGATCCACCTTGCCAGCTAGAGGCCCAAGGCCATATGCAGATGTGTGATGGGAATGGCTATTGGGTATCTTTGATTATAGAAGGTCTGCAAGCCCGCCTTCAGCTGATTTTGAGTGGAGTTAGAAATTGCCTAGAAGGAGCCTGATTTTTGTTTTAAGCCTTTGTTAAGTCTGGGGCTTTGGTGGAGACCTGAGCTTCACCCAGAACTGCCAAGAGAACAGATTGACCTGTTAAGGAAAGACCTAAAGGGAAAAAAGACTGTTTTAAAAAATCTCGAGTGTTTTGCCATTGGATGCATCAAGACAAGAAAAGTATATGACCATTAGAGAAAACCCCCTTCTGGGACAGAAAGTTAAAGGGGGCTGGTGAGCAACAGTCTAGAATACTTGTGGTGACCATCAGGGTCCACTTGATGAGTGTTAAGTGGGGAGCATGCAGCACTGAAGAGACAGGTTAAGAGAGAAGAGGATGGGTTACGTGGTCTGAAGTTTAGGGAGGCAAGTGGTGCCCCTAGCCTACGGGATCTGTTGTTTTAAGTGTCAGTGAGTTGGTTCTGACTCATAGCTATCCTGAGTAGGATTTCTAAAGAGCTGCTGGTGGTTTTTTGTTCTGTTTTTTTTTTTTTTCTTAAATGTTTTATTGTGAATTATGTGATAGTTTTACATGGGAGAACATTTGTTTTACATTCATTCTATCGTATATTGTCTCATTGCCATGGTTACAATCCCCTCCATGCATCATCAACCAACCAAAGGGCATACCCTATAAGCCTACCCCTTGGTCGTCAGCACACAACCCCTGCCCTCTCTGGGTCTAGAGTCCCCAGCCACTCCATCTCTCCATGTCATCATCTCTGCCTCCATTTCAGGCATCATTGCTTCTCTGGGTAGGGTTCCGCTCTCTGCTCTTCTCCCTTGATGGTCCTAGGGACCTCTGCTCCTAGACTGAAAAGTCAATCACTCCCCTCCTTGCTATAAAAAGTCTACCTGTACATTTCCAACCCTCACAATTAGTCCTGATAACAATTATTCACTATTGTATCACAAGAGATCTGTCTGCATTTCATTGCATCAGCCCCGCCTAGACAGACTGACTACTACTCAGTGGAGATTCTGCCTTCCTCCAGGCCCTCTGGATCTAGGTTCCCTCTTGAAAGCTTGTAAGCCAGTCACTTCTTGCCTTTGTAGCCCCACACTCCCCATTTTGGGTAGCCAATGTCCAAGTTGCCCATCCCTGTCTACTCTGTGTGTGGAGGGGGTGGGAATGATTCTTGCTGTAAGGACTTGTTCCCTCTTTTGAGCTACTGCTTCCATAGGTGTAGGTCAAGTTCATCAAATTGTATGAGAATACTTTTTTTTTTTCCTCTTCTTTTTACTTCTGGTTGAGTTCTGATCATCCAGTGACTGAAGCCAGGATAAGTGGGTATTATCTGCAAGTGTGGGTGTTCTTATGCATATGCCCTCTCTTCTTATCAGGAGGTGTGTGTGTGGACTCCCAAGCTTGCAGCCAGCACCCATTTGACCTAGATAGGATGAATATGACTGAATTGATCAGAATCTGATCTGATGAAGAGGGATGTATTCGATAACTGTGAGCTGGTGTAATTGCTGTAATTTCATGACTTATTCTGGGCTGGACTTTGCTTATAGATACAGATTGCCTATAGCTCCAACAGGAACATCAGATGTTCATATCAAGGAAAGTGCTTCTTCTAGCATACTGGGTTGTTTTTGTTGATGTTAAGTGCTGTCGAGTTGGTTCCAACTCATAGCAACCCTGAATAGGGTTTCGGAAGAGTGGCTGGTGAGTTTGAACTGCCAGTCTTGCGGTTCAAACTGACTTTGCCTACAGAGTCACACCAGGACTCCACTGTATTGATGGGGTGGGCAAGTTAGAAATCAGGTATCTAAAATGGGGGGTGACAAAGGCATCAAGTGGCTGGCTTACAAGCGTTCATAGGTGTGCTTACAGTTAAAATGATCTGGGGGAAGTCAGTCCATCAGGCATGAAAGGAGCAATGGCTAGAAGAGCCTGCAGTGTACTGAATTATTTAATGTCTCTTCTAGTCTTTGTAAACTCCCACCAGATAACTTTTCTTTCTCCTGATGAGTCTGACTGAGTAAGAGAAGATGGGAAGAACATATTGATGGATTCTGATTCAGTTGTGAGTGACTGATAACAGGGTTAATTGTAAAAACTTGGAATTCTTAACAAGGGTATAAAATGAATCATCTCAGAAGCAGGAGGGGGCAATCTCACTATCATCAAAGAAGAGCCAAGAGTGGAGTGAGTCCTTTGAATGCTGCTATTCCTGTACATTGAGACTCCTGGACCCAGGGTCAGAAAACTGTGACATATTAAGAGTGGTAGAGGAGGAGCAGCAACAGCAGAACGAAAAGCCAGAGCACAAAACAGAGCAGTGGGCTTCCAGCCCATGGAACAAGAGAAAGGAGAGACTTTCCAAGGCTCAGCCTGCAATTTGCAGTTACATTCTTTTTGTAATCGGTACACTGGGCTGATATTTGTTCTTCCAGGCTTCATCTATTTGTAACCAAGAACTTAAAGACTGGGATGGGGAGTTGGAACCAGTGGTTTGGTCCCTTAGTTCATTCATCTTGCAGGCATGTACCCCCTTGACAGTTTGACTGTCCATTCATTCTCCCCGACTTTCCTGCAAGACCTGCTACTTTATCTCAGAAACAAATCCTTGCCCCTCATAATTTCCAGGGAATACAACAGCACTCCCTAGGATTGATGCAGCCCTGGTCCCCGCCAGGGGTCCCCAGTGACTGCTGGATTAGAACCCTCCCGAACCTCCACCGCCCGTGTGCTAGATCCTCTGGGAGATGTAGTCTTGATTGCCCCTTTGTCCTTGGTCTCCCCAAAGTACCCCTCCCCCCACCAGTGGAGAAAATGCAACTCTTAGGGGGCAGTAAGGGGTCTCTAGGGGAAGGGGAGCCTGGAGAAACTGGAGCAAACCAACAGGGGCGAGGAAGAGAAAAGGGAGTTTTGTGGGGCACTGGGGAACATAGCCTGTCGGAAAAAAGCAGCTAGGCGACTCGGGGCGCGGAAGCTCGAGACGCTGGCTGGGGGTCTGGGCGGGGTGAGCGCCGTGGGCGGTCCCGTCTGCGTCACTCGACGTGGGCGGGGCCTCTGGGGGGTTGTCCGCCCGCTGCACGCACAGCCGCCGCAGCCGCCCAGCGCCGGTCCCGCCGTGGTAGCTCAAGCTGCAACCTCTGCCGTCTTAGCTGCTCATTCCGTACGTCGGTCCTCGCACACGGGCTCTTGCCGCCCCACTGCTCTCCACGCCTTCCCGTCGCCCCAGTCTCTCCCTCCGGCCCGACCCAGCCTCCTGCGAAGATGGTGGACCGCGAGCAACTGGTGCAGAAAGCCCGGCTGGCCGAGCAGGCAGAGCGCTACGACGACATGGCTGCGGCCATGAAGAACGTGAGTTTCTGCCCCCTCCCCCGCCAGCTCTGGCCGCCAGAGACTCGCTCGTCCGCTAGAATCACCGCGATTAAGTCGCCTGTCTGCGGCGACTGCAGGGCAGGTCACCCCCGGCCCCGCTGCCGGGGAGGGGGGGCGGCTGTGGGTGGGCCCGATGGCCACGAGGACCCGGCTGGTGGCGCCGCCTTTCTTTGCCGCCCCTGGGGCCTGCGGCGCTGCCCCCTCTGCCTGGCCCTGGCTGAGACCGAGGCGGGGTCTTTGGGGGGGGTCTGTAGAAGGGTCCCCGCGGGCGGGCTTCGGGCCGTGCGCATCCTTTGTGCCCGGTTTCCCCTCCTCCTTTCCTGGGGCGTGGGGGCGGGGGACCGCATGGATGCGGTTCCTCTTTCCCAGTCCCTGGTGCCAGGGCGGCGCCTTCCCCATTCACTCAGCAGGTTGACTCGCCCCCACCCCATTCTCCTTCCCTTTGGGCCCCTCCTGACAGGATCTGGGGTCAGCGGTACAAAATCGAAACATTCCTGTTCACGGTTTTTCTTAACAAAAGGTTCTTCCTTTCACCATTCCCCCAAAATGAGCCCTCTTGCTTTTAGGAAGGGGGACTGTCTCCCTAGGCTTTTCCTTAATGGATCACCACATGTCATCTCCATCTCTCCTCGTGTTTTATAATGAAGAGGACAGGGTGTGCAGTTTGTTTTTTGTTGTTTTAAATAAAAGGTGGTGAATGTAGCACATTGGTTCATTTGTGACATGAGCTGTTTTTTCTTTTTTAATATAGGCACGAATATTCTTGAAATTCCTGTAAGTTGTGGGGAGGGGAATTTTCTCTGATCTGATACTGCAAACAAAGCGATGGTGGGAGGCAGTATCAAGTCATTCCAGAAGATTCTGCATTTGTCATATTGCAGAAAGCCTAGACTGGGTGGAGGCTGGGAGGAGTTGTTTTAAAGGGGAAAAAGTCCTTTTAAAAAAAAAATTTTTTTTTTTTTTTAAATTGTTTTGTAAGTGAAGTCTGAGGGCTTAATTTTTATAGCTAGTGCAACCTAATGCTGATTAAAAGAGAATACTGGTCTAGGTTTGTGCATTTTGTCTTGGATGCTGTCTTGCACCATTATGTCAGGAACACTACATTTTTCTAATGGGCTGTCAACCAGCTTGAGATTAGGCGAGCGGGAAAGCCTTAAACATGATTAAATGAACTCTGGAAAAGGAGCACATTAATGACTTAAGTCTTAACACTATCTTCATATTTAACTCGCTACCTTATGTAACAGATGCTTAAGATGCATCACCAGTTTGAACCCATGTAGGTTCTATAGATTAATTCTTGAGTAGCTATCCTAGCTCACAAAAGATGACACTGTTGATGCCTTTATATTTGAATTTGTTATACCAGAAACAAAAACAAAAACCATGTTTTTTTCTTAGCAAAGAAGGGAGTTGATTCTGGGAATTGGGAGTACTTGACCACATGCACTAGTTAGTTGACAACATTTTAAAGCTCAAATGATAGAAGTTGTATTTGTGATTGATATTCATGTTGAAATATCCTTAGCTCGTATTACTTAGTCTTTTCTAATTTTTCCGTATTTCTAGTTCCACAGGATTGCGAGTGACCTCTTACCTATATCCATAGCAACCCAGTGATGTCACACACAATGACACAGAGGCTGCAATGCACCTAAGGGCTGCTAGGGAGTATGCAAATGGCATTTGTCCAAGGTGATGCAGAGATTAGTTGATAAACCAGGTAGGATTGAGCCAAGTCATCTTCTACCAGATAAAAATCAACTTGCAATAGAACCATTGGTCCCATTGGTCCAAAAATATGCATTTCATTTTCCCTTAGACATGCAAATCAGTGACCTCTCTAGGTGTGCATTAATCACTTGCTGATTTCTCATTTTCTCCCAGAGGAAGATCCATTCATATTTTAAACCTTTATCCCATTAAATTTAGCAAATTGGGCAGTGATGGAATAAAATACAAATTTGAATCAAGAATACAGTTTATGATCTTAATGTGAGGGAGAGCTGTGTACTTGGGTTTATTGCAAATAACTAAATAGGCAGATTTTGATGAAAAACCTAAAAACACAAAAAATAGGGCTTCCTACTGGGACATTTTCAGTGACTAGAGGATAAGAGAACCTGCTACAAAGCAGTTAACTTTTTTTTTTTTTTTTTTTTGGTTGGGCTTCATACTAATGCTGTTTGACAGTATGGAGGCAAGACTCAGATAAAGCAGATGGATTTTCAAACCCACTTACTGTGACTTTGAGGAGGTAGGCTTATCTCCGACCCTCATTTTCCTCTTCTGTAAATTTGGGGCAATCTACTTGAAAAAGTGATGGTTAAATGCCATTGAGTTCTGACTTGTAGTGACCCTGTATAGGGTTTTCCAGGAGCAGCTGGTGGGTTTGAACCACCAACCTTGTGGTTAGCAATCCAGTGCTTATCCTACAGTGCCACTCCAGGACTCTTGGAAAGAGGTGTTTAGGGTTAAATAAAATATATAGGCTCAAAAAAATGGTAACTACCTATGAAACTTGGTATTTTCCTGTTTATAAAAATGATTTCATTATGGAAAATTTATATATCTAGGAAGATACAGTGAAAACATTACTCCTCTCACTCAAGTGAACCTTTTTTTTTAAGGTGGAAATGATCCTGATAGAGGGATTCAAACTTAATTGTTTTTAGGAAGTTAACCCTAATAATAATACAGTTAAGATCTATGCAGAATGTGCCTGTAGGTGGCTAGAAGTGTCCCCTACTTGTTATACAATATGGTCTTGTGCTTTGGCATTTTCTGACCTTTTGAAAAGTCAGTGTGTTAATAGTACTTGCCTCAGGAGGTCCCTGACAGCATAGTGGGCTACAAGTGAGGCAGCTAACCGCAAGGTCAGCAGTTGGGATCTACCAGCTGCTCCTTGGGGGAGAATGGTGAGGTTTTCTGCTCCCGTTCAGATTGACAACCTCAGAGCCTTATACAGGGTCACCGTGAGTTAGAATACAACCACCATCACCATCGGGAGATGACTGATATTATTGGAGTTAGCGGTTTAACTGGGTTTGGGGCAGGCGGGGGGGGGGGTGGGTAAATAGGTGGTCAAAAGTTGGACTATTTTCAATATTGCATTTTTTCCCCACTTGCTCTTGCTGGAGGGTTGATCCAGTGGCCTTATCACTAATGAAGCAGTAGCACCTGGGGGGTACCTTAGAGGCGGAGTCCTGCCAGCCATTCTTCCCAATCACATGGTTAGAACTGGTCTCTCCCTAGGGGTGGAAAGGATGGAGAGAAGAGTTGGCCTTGTGTGCTAGCCACCATAAGAACGCAAATGAATGGGAGGTGTTTTCTCATTTTTAAAATGAGTTCTTTGGAGATAAAAGATGATGCTAATTGTGCAGTGCAGCTACAGACCTTGGATTAGAATCTTATCCCTAGTATTTGGGGACACGTTATTTATTAGGCCAAAGTCTTACATTATTGAGAAGTGGGGGGAAATTTTTTAAGTTGAATTTCACATTCCATAAACATTTCAAGTGTACAGTTCAACAGCATTTAAGACAATATTGAGTAAGAAGCACTTTTGTCTTGCCCCAGAACATGGAGCTAATGATGTTTTTAAGAGATGATGATCTATACTAGAACTGGCTGGATTTTACAACGAGGTGACTTACAGCCTCAGGAATGTGCCACCATGTGGGACCCATAGCAACTCATACCAGTAGAAATTGGTTACCTCTTTGCTCCTTTGTTTGCGAACATCTGAGCTTTTCCAGCAGAAAGTGAGGGGAAAAGATTTAACCAGGTTTGCATTGTGTTTTTATTTAAAAAGTTAAAGTGCCTATAAACCATAGGATGCTGTCTCAAGTAAGAAAAAACAGTTTACCTCAATGGAGACTGGATCTCCATTCATTCTATGGAGATTAAGGAAATTGTTTAGTGTTCTTAGGACTGATTTTCAATCCTAGGACAATTACCTTTGTGTTGCATGTTTTCTCCTGGCTGTGTGGTAGTGGTCCCCTAGTGAACTTTCAGTACTAAGGATCTTGAGCTCTGTATGGGACTCCAGTATCAGGTGATGTATGATTGTGGTCTCCAGAGTGCTCCTGAAGCTCTCAGGAGCTCAGTAAGAGAGGCCACCTCTCCATCTCTAGTAGTACCCTAACCTCTTACCTGGCAGGATGTCTGATCATTTCTGTCAGTTTCTTGGGATGAGGAAAGAAAGCAAGAGCCAGTTCATACAAGCAGATTTCAAAAAGTTCATGTTTTAATAGTCAAAAGGAATAATTGTAAAATATTTTAAGTTGATTTTGTTCAGAATAGACACAGCATTCTGAGTCGTTCCCCCATTAACATAAACACTAATACTCTGAGGCTCCCATCTAATCTTCTGAGTTGCTAGGGTCAACCCATATAGGTGGATTTGAAAAAGCAATAGGTACCTTTTTGAATTTTAAACCATGAACAATTTAAATGTTTAAAGTTTTAAGAGATAATAATACCCAGTAGTAGTAATAGGAGTCTGGCAGCTCCATACAATAAACACTGGACTGCTAACTGTAGGGATCTGTGGTTCGAGCCCGCTGGCTGCTCACGGCAGAAAGATGAGGCTTTCTGCTCCCACAAAGATTTCAAGTCTCAGAATCCCTGCACAAGGTCACTGTGAATGAGAGCCCACTCAACTCAACAACATTTAACAATAACCCAGTAGAGATGGTCTCCAGATCCTTAAAAGTCTATTCTTCCCTCAGTTCTGTTTTCAGATCTGTCCTAAGGTAATGACTAGCGTTCATCAAAAAGATGTTCACAAAGTATTTGAAACGGACTCAGTGCTAAATAGGAAAATAATTAAAATGACATACAGACTACTGAGCCATTTAGGATAATGACATGCGTAAATATCCCTGGAATAATGTCAAGTGCAAAAGGCAAGGAACAAGAGTAAACCTAAAGCTTGGAGGCGGAAGGACTGGTGACTCCTCCCCGTTTCTCATGTC